TCTCTCTCTCTCTCTCTCTCTCTCTCTCTCTCTCTCTCTCTCTCTCTGCACTGTGGAATAATGTATAAGAACAGGTAGACTTACTGAATGAACCTTTAACCTTAACCAGCTATGCGATTTTCTCTCTGATGTTGTGCACTGTTCTGTTTCCTTCATTTCCTTGAAACCAAACCTCTCCTGACATCTGAGTGACAATGAGCTACTTATTCAGACTGCATTCCTCACATTGTGACTGAAATAAGACATGTTCCATGTCCACGGCGGATTTTCTCTTGGGGCTTTTCCTAAGTGTAATTCAGTGTCTGCTTTCCCAAATCACACTGGTGGTTTTTTTTTTTTTTTTTTTTAATTTTACCTATAATTTTCTCATCATTTTGCTTTTAAGTTTGCCTCCTCAAATCCGAGTCTCTCCTGATAAACGTTATGATCCGTCTTCTTTAGGTGGCTATCCCTGTCGTTTCTGTGAGGCTGGTGAAGAAGCACAAAACAGCGGGCCTTGTCCCCAATGGCTTGGCTATCACCACAGACACCGGCCAGAAGGTGAACACTTCCATCCCAGTCGCTGTCCATGAAAATACTTGTGCTGATTAGCGCAGCATGGCTGGGTTTTCCAGGAGACGGTGTGGTGGAAAAAACAACACCACGCTATAGATAGAAGCAGAGTGGAGTCCCAGCAATGTAGCGCGAGAGAGTCGAGGGTTTTTTTCCACCATTACGGCAACGTTCAGAGGGGCTTCTTAACTTTCACACATCAGACTCAACCTGTCATCAAGTGTATTTTTCACTTTCTGTTTGTGCCCCAACACTGACAGCCAGCAAGAGCATTTTAGCAGTGGCAACACTGGTTTTGTGTCTTCAAGGACATGTCAGTATTGTAAATAAAAACATGAATTTCTAGATCGCACTCAACAAGAGAGGAAAGTAAACAAATTAAGAAATTGAAATGCAAGATTGGTAATTTAAGGGCACAAATGACCGAACTGAGGAAATAAAATCAGTTTATTGAGTGCACAAGTGAGTAATTTAGGCCAGTGATTTATCCAAAACCGTTTTCAGCCATGTTTGTGGCTCTGACGCTGTACCCAGATTTTCTTTCACTGAATTTGACAAAAGAAGAGTATTGAATTAGAATCGCTCTCTTGTCCCTCTGTGTGACGCGGTTTAAACAAATTAGCTCCTGAGCTAAATTTAAGGACAAATATTAAATTTGATTTTCTAGTCAGCGAAGTTTGTCAAGTTGTTTTTGCTTTCCCCATTGATCTTTTTGCTTAATACAGTGAAATAGATCACAGAATAGTCTGCATGTTTCTAGTGGTAGCACACACACATCATGCAGACTGTTGCCAAAGCACACACACACACACACACACACAGGAGAGCCAGCTACTCACAGATATGGCAGTCGTCACAAAGTTCAGAAATAGCTCATGTTTTTAAGTGCTCCGCAGACATTCATACACTCCACTATACACTCATACATACATACATACACTATGTATACTGTACCCGGTTCATCATTTATTCATAACACAAAACATTCATTATTAATAGCTAATTAATTGGGCAGATTCTTTTGCACAGCAGCTCAGATTAAAGCAACGACCTTTCTCAAACCATGGGAGATATGTAGTGTAGTACGTCTCTCAGTGTACAAGGGCAAATGTCCTTTGCCATATATGTCTGCGTGATTGTGTAATATGCGTTACATGACCACGTGCACATTCACGGCTCTGTACAGTACAGGACTTTACTGCAGAAGAGGACTGAGGTTGGGTCTTGTGTTTATGAGGTAAAAAGTTCACAGCTCGTGTCTGTAACAACAAAGTCCGGGCTTGTTTGTAATTTTTCAGCTCGTTCACCAACACGACTGTGTCAGGAATGATACAACAGGACATGCAATAACACAGTGTTTGAAATGCTCATGGATACATTCAAAAGTGCATTTTAGACAGCAGTGATGTCTATCCAGGTCAGAGGGATATTTGGGTAAGCTGTCACTGACCTGTCATTCTTATTTTCTCATGAAAGAATAGACCGGAGCAAAAATGTGATGAGAGAAATATCCTCTTTGTGGCCCAGATTATGAATCCCTGAAGTGTTGTTTGCCCCAAATTATTTCCAGGACTCTTTCCCGGTAATGTTCCTGTATTATTAAATGCTTCGTATGCAAACACAAATATTCAAACGTCGTTCTACAGGCCTTAATGCACTGATTGTATACTTACAACACAAGCAGCAGCAAGTTTGATTTGGTGCAGCTGATATTTCAGATAAAGTGACCACGACTATGACGTGTTCAAAGGCAGGCTGAGATGTGAAATAGAAAATCTATTTCTCTATTCAGTTTCCCCCTCAGGGCTCGTCACAGTTTAATATCATGTCTCATCTAACCTAATTTTAGTCTATAGTTTACCCATGTTGTTCAGTAGACCTTTTTTTCCCTACTGTATCAATATACATTTGAGATAACCGCTCTGTTTAAATCAGCTCTAATTGTCCACTATAATCATTTTTATGTGTTTGGATAAATTCAGAATATTTTCAAGGGACTATTATATTTTTAAGCAGCATTATAAGCAGAACATCAACAGGATTTTAACAACACTGTTTCTCTTTTTTATTTCCTCAGTATGTCTTTGTATCTCTGCTATCAAGAGACAGTGTATATGACGTCCTCCGTAGGATCTGCACACACCTTCAGGTCAGAGGACTTGGATACTATTATTTTAGTCCATGTATTGTGTGGTGTGTGCGTGCCAGTTCACGAGGTTATTTCCTTTCCCCTCTTCAGGTCAATGGGAAGAGTCTGAGCTTGAAGCAGTTCATGGAGGAGCCGATCTTATCGCTGGTCAGTCTTTCATAAGCCGTCATAAAATGATAAAGATCCAAGTGGGTGAAACGTCAACGCCTCTCAATCCCCAGGCATTAAAGTAACTTAAATGATTCCTAGTTGTGTTTCCTGTTGGTCTAAAGGCCTAAGACAACTCTCCCTTACCACCGCCCCTGACCTGAAGGCTGGCTTACATTCTTACACACACAGCACCAATAGATCATTCTGTTGCTGCTGCAGTCTTGCAGTGAATTATCCCTCGAGTCGGCAAGATTCTATCAAAGAGCTCCGTGAAGTCACCTTGTGTGTGTGTGTGTGTGTGTGTGTGTGTGTGTGTGTGTGTGTGTGTGTGTGTGTAGGCCACTGCGCCACAGAACAGCTTTTGCATTAATTTATAATTAAGTTCTGTTAACATGCTCGTCTTTGATCACACTGTAATCTGAACCGAAGGTATTCAAAGAAAAGAAGGGTGTTTGTTCACGGTGCCAGCATCGGCCTTGAAGCTTTCGCAGAGCTTTGCTATTCTCTAACACAGAAAAGGTTAAGATGCCTGATTCGTAGTTACAGTTCGTAATCAGAAGTATGATATCGTATAAGTAGCAGAAATATTCCAATGTCAAGGATATTTGCTGACCTTGCTGAATATCTCTTTTCACTGTTGCTTCTTTAAGATTTAAGAGATAGACCTTTAACCTTTTAAAGTGAATAGATAGCAGTAACACCATTTATCCATTATTGATTTAAGTCATTAACTAAAGCAACATTTGGGCTGAAAGGTTGTGTAAAAGCCCCGTGATGTGTTGGATTGTACCCAGCGCAGAATGTGTTCATTAACTTATTAACATTCATAACTGCAGTTATTCATGGTTTACCATTTACAATTGCTTTATTACCGAATAGCAAGGATGAACACCAATCAAAGAGAGCTCAATAGTTGATCTCATGAATGCTTATAACGGATTTATTGCATTATTTTCTTGGTGTTGAAATAACTCAGTGGGTTTCAGTCTCATGTAGGGGGTCACAATATCAAAATATGATTGAAGTCTAGAAATAAAAAATGGTCGCTAATGGTTTGTAATCAGTCAATTCCTCGGGTTTTTCTAACCAAGCAAGACCTTTAAATACATGTTAAGAAAGAAGAGTGAATCATACGGTGATTTGTTTAGCGTCTCAGGTTTAGATGATGAAGTGTGCTGACAGACTCCTTTAGATAACTTCCTGTTGCAGTTGAATGACCTTCTACCTCTTTCCTCTGTGCCGCAGGACGAGTTCTCAGTTCCAGACGAGTTCCCGGCGGTTGACGAATTCCCATCAGTGTTAAAGTGGAGAAGGAAACCCTCCGTGGTGTCTGTGTCGTCCTCCCTTCCTAACCTCCTGGGGAACTCCACCAGCAGCCTGAGTGCCGCAGACACACCCTTTAAATCAGAACAACCGCTGGAAGGTGATAAAGCGATCCATGTTGGCACGGTTTATGAGTGTCTATTGCAGGGAAATATCAACAGTACTTGTTCCTACTGTCTAAGGCTAGTCAGGTAAATCACACTTGATACTTTCAGGTTTCAACTCGTCCTGCAGGACTTTAATCAATGACTAGTTTAGAGAGAAATCCACCTGTGCCTCTGGGCATTTTAGTTCTTGTCCACCAAAATGTAATGAAGTTGCTTTGCCAGCAACAGATTGGCTATTAATCTTACAGAGAGCCTGGATTATGTAGTTAATGTGTACAGGGGGAATAAGAAATTCTGTCAACTTAATGATGTGCACATCCGTGAAGAGTTTAATATGTAATAAGTAGAAGTTTGTAGTCTGACTCAGATGACATAGTGAGTCAGTGAGGTTACATCTTTAAAATGTCACTTCCTTTAAAGGATAACGGTGTTGAAACCCTGGATGCAGATGTCTTTGTGTGTGTGTATGTGTGTGCACGTGTGTGTGTGTGTGTGTGTGTGTGTGT